AAGCCATCCACCGTTGCTAGCTTTGACACAATTTCCTCGATAGTCTGCTGTTTAACAAACAATGTTATTTTCTTTTGAACAATTTTATTTTCCGAACCAGTATCTTCAAGTAGACGCTTCATATTTAGATCCAAATCTTTATGTGTGTTTTTTAAATGACGTAGGAGCCCACTGGTCGAAAATCCTTTGCACATTATCTTTACATTGCACTTTTTGCAAATTGCAGATTCGCCAGATTTTTCTTTACAAAAATACTGCCATGCTTTGGATCCATTTACAATTGACATAGTATAACTAAATTGAATCGCAGAACAACTAAAAGTAAAGTTACAAATATTTCTTACATATGTATGTTATCTTACGTATGACTTTTATGTGTTTGTTTGCCGTTTTTTAAATACAAAAATTATTAAATATTTCAATAATTTGATACAGAAAAAGTTTAACTTTTCAATAATTTAGAAGTTTAAAAATTAAACTTACTGTTTTCGTCGCAAGAAATCTTTTTTATTTTTTACTCATATTTTATAATAATGAGAAAAAAGAAAACATTGCATTGCAATGCATTTCTTTTTAGTTTAAGATAGTTTCAATAGCATTTCTTGTTGTGCTAGGTTTTAATATAAGGTATGAACACATAAAACACAACTAAATGCAATAATATTTTTCTTATTTTTGGTCGAATTAGTTCAAAGTTATCATATGTAAAATTATTTTAAAAAAAATTATATTCCGGGATATAAGAGTGATATCCCGGGAAATCCCGCTGCCACTTTTATCCCCGGGATCCCGGGAAAACGGGATCCCGGGATCCCGTTTGAGAAACCCTAGTATTTATGAACAAAAAATAAAATCCTTTATAAATAATTTTCTTTATCCTATTTTTTTTTATGTATCTTATCACCACATTTAACGCATTTATATACAATCATGTGCATGTTGTTACATTATTCTTGTTAACTTAAAAAAATTATAAAAAACAATGCTAGTCACTATAAATATTATATACAAAAAATACTGAATTATATATATATTAAAAAGTTGCAAATTTATGCATGTATTGTTATTTTGTTTTTGTTAACGTTTGCAAATTAAAGGGAACTTCAAAAAATTAATATAAACAAAAAAAGTGTTGGTTTTATAACAAAACATTATTTGAACAGTAATTAAATGATTCTTACCAACATTCTAGTTCATTTTATCAGTGAATAAAGAAATAAATTTGAATAGAAATTTATCAAAGTTGAATAAAACTAAATAAAAGTTGTTTGCATTATAAAATCATGATCAAAAAAGTATTTTGTAAAAACAATTCATAATGTGTAAGGTTTGCAAGGTGGGCTTCAGCATGTCGGTATGGAATAAGATCAATACTGGGCAATACATTTTACATAATAATGCAAGAGAACTCTTGCAAAACAAGATGAAAAACTGCTTCTTGTTTAGATGTGCTTTATTTTGTCAAATTTCTTTGATTTAGATATATAAGTGACAAAGTTTTCATATATATTGGTGCACTATAAAAAATATTGTAGTGATTATTTCAAATTTATATAACTATAAATGCAATGTTACGGGTGGTATAGTCATGACGTTTGAAACCCTTAAAATTTGGTGACAATCAATGAACCATTCAAACAACCTCTACTTTGAAAAAAAATGTGTCTCAATCGATTATTCAGATATTCCTTCATCTGATACCCTAGGACTATACAGCTTTGAGCTGCCTGTTCTTCTCCCCCTAAAAAGGATCAGCCATCTTCAATAGAAAACAGCAAGTCTAATAGCAAAGGTGAAGTTTTTCAGTAGAAGCCTAATTGCCTAGTCAGAAAGACAATGATTTAATGAGTGACCAAGAGTTTACAAAGTCATAGCTGAACTAATATCACGGATTAGGCAGAGGAATTTGTTAAATAAAAATAAGTCACAACTCATAGAAAACAAATCAAAAATTTTACAACTTGCTCAGTCAGAAAACCCAATGCTTCTGTAATGTTGTGGTTGATTTTTTTAAAGCTAATGGAATCACATGCCAAGTAAATAGCACCTATTTATAGACAGTTTATTTTGGAGACTCAAAGCCCTGTTGCTTCAGAATTGGTAGCCTGGTACCGAGATGTTGATGAGTATCTTGATGTATAATTTCATCAAAAATATGAAATTGGTATTATTCTATTACACCTTCAAGGCTCTCAAACAAATTTTTAATATCTTTAGCCTCTGGGACAATAGTGACACAAAGGCACACTACCAAAGTAAGAACTGGTTACAATGAAGTGAGTTCTCTGTGGGAAAGAGCAATGTGGAAGCTGCAGATAAAACTCCAAAAAACACTACAAATACTGAAAATCAATACACATATTCCTAAAAATCTTTTCTAGAACCTGCTAATATCTTAGCCAAACCACAAAAAAGATAAAAAAGATAAAAAAGATCATAAAAGCAAGATAAACTCTGTGGAAAACAGTTTATCCCACAAACTCAAAGTCATGTTGCTTTACAATGCAATTAACTTCCATTCTGATGGTTCATTCTGTGCATCTCAAGGAGAATAAAAGTAATCTCAAGAAGTTATTGAGAAGTGTCTTGATGTATAACAACTACAGAGGTCATTAAAGATTTGAAATTGGTATCATTCTACTGGCCCTTCAAGCTTATTGTTTAGTTTTTCAATTTTCTTTGTCTCTAGTACAGCAAGGACACTGCCACAGAAAAAGCTGGTTATGTGACTGAGTTCTTTGAGAAACAGAGCATAGTTTAGTGGGAGCAGCTGATAAATCCAAGAAAAAATAACTACCACTGCAATTAAGGTTTCATCAAAAACTTTTTCAGAGGATGAGGCTAAACTACAGAGCTAGCAACTTCGTTGAGCCACAAATCAAGAAGATTATAGAAAATGATGCCCTAAAAGAGTAAAGGTATATGTGATAATCATAAATATAGGTAAATACAATTTAAAACACAATCTTTTTTTAACTTCGTTAAACCATAAATCAAGAAGATCATAGAAAATGATCATAGAAAGACTTTTTAGCAAAATATATTAGAGTTAAGGCTAGGGTTAGGGTTAGATGTCATTATCAAGGACAGTATACCAAGTATATTATCAAAAATGCATTTGGTGGCTACTTTGAGAAACTTATTATCCTTTTCTAAAGTTGAGTTTCTAAATCCTCCAGAGGGGTTAGTAAACTACTAAATCTAGGAAATCTATTTATTTCTGATGCTTATTTCAAATGATTTTTTACTTTATTTATCTATTTAATATGTAATTGTTGTTTATTATCAGACAAAACAAATGAAAAAATTAAACTTTTTTTGTATTTTCTCACTAAATACAAATTTTCTTTTGTTAAATCATGTCATAAAATCAAAGTTTAGGCTCAATGAAGTCTTTTTTTTACAGTCTTTAGATGTGACTAAAAAAATGCTATAACATAAATAAAAACAATATGTATAATACACTTTTATAATATAAATTAAATGTGTTTAATTAAGCAATCATTAGAAATAGTAAGTTAATTAACTTAAAACTGTTCCATGTTATGATGAAAAGCAATGTTTTGTTCATGAAATATGAAAACGCTTCATTCATGCTTTCCTTTATACTCCATACTTAGAAAATATTTTTATATTTTTTTATATTACTATTTAAAATGGCAACAAAACAGCAACAAGTGCGTTATACAATTTTGCATGCTCAAGTAAAATTTCCTAATTAGCCTTTCAAAACGATTATAAAATTTTAAAAAATTATTGTACTGAAATTTTTTTTTCTATTTATGTATTTTTGTTCTAGACTTAATAAGCATTCAATTTAAAAAAAAAATCAACTTTGTAGCTTGTTCCAATATTTTTTAATTTAAGACATAAAAAGTGTCCAATTTACTTGACCTAATATTTAAAAGAAACAAATATCCTAACAGAAAATTTTATTATGAAGATAAACTTTAATTTCTCAGAAGATAAAAAAAATAATTTTGATAAATGTTATGTTCTGAAAGAAAATTTAATCACTGTTTTAAATGACAAGGTAAAACATTTAGGTTGATGAAAAAAAGCAACTGAAACAGCATAAGGAACCATCAGTAATCTGATAAAAAAGTAAAAAAATGTTTGAATTTGCATAGACAAGACAACAACACTAAGCATACGTTAAAGAAAGTAAAAGTGTTTTTTATACTTGATTAGCCGACTTAATTAGTGTTTTTTATCCTTGATTAGCCGACTCAAAGTTCAGATTTTATTGCAATTGAACACCAATGAACAATTCAGGATCAAAAAAGTAGCAATTTCAAAACAAAACAAAGAGAAAATAATCGTGTTCCTAATAGCTTCGACTTGAATCAATCCAGATACAACAAAGAAATTAGTTGAACTAATGCAAAATCGACTTGCAGAAGTCTTAAACGCTAAAGATGGTCTGACTCTATATTAAAAAGTCAAAAAATTTAATTACTTAATAAATGTTTAATAGTTAAAATTTGGTTTGGACACTTATTTAAAGTTAAAAAAATGCATAATTTAAATGCATCATTAAGTTTTTAGCACATAAATGTAATTATTTTAATTTTTAAGTTGTGAAATATTTTAATTTTTAAGTTATGAATTCTTGATAAAACTGGCATTTATTTAAAAAAAAAACATGATTAATCTATAACAATCTTTTATTCATTTTATCTCATTTTTCTTCTGAAATTACTTGTCAAAGTTTACTTGTTTGTTTTTTTTAATTTTGTTCAGAAAATTATCTCTCTTACTGTATAAGATGTGTGATGGCTGACACAGATGAATTTACTTGTAATCAAAACTGATATGTATATTTGTTATATTTTCTTATAAAATATTATTTATTTTGATTTTCTCTTAAAATCTTGCCAAATATTGTCAAACATACTAAATACAAAAGAATAGAGTTTATCCTTTAAAGAAGTAATGATAAAAACAGCTTTAAAAAAACTTGATGTTTATAAACTTTTGATTTTAATAAACTTGCACTTTTGATAAATAGATTTTATATAAAATAATTTACAATAATGCAATAAAGTATTATAGACTTACCAAAAATAGAAAACAAAAATAAAGAATCTTCACAAGATTTTTTTAAAGGATTCAGGTTAACAAGAAACTTTAAGGAACTATTTTGATTTTTATTGGTTAAACCACAAATCATTGATAAACAACTCTTCAGCTTTTCATTAGTCACAATCTCTTCACTACTTAAACAATTATATGCATATATAGATGCACAAAACTCCATTATTGTCAAATGTACAAATTGATAAATATATTCACCTAGACTTGTTTCAATCCTTTCAATAAATCCAAAAAAAGTTTCTTCATTTTTATCAAAGTCAATGATGAAAGTTTGAATGTCTTCTTTGGAAAAAATTACTTTATTTTCAACAAACAATTGATACGCAATTTTACAAATGTTTAAAATATATTTTTTATTGAAATTGTTTTCCATGAATTGAGAAATCGATTCATTGTTTTTGATAATGTGTTTTTGCAAAAAGTGTAAAAAAAGATTTGCATACAAGTCTGTCATTGTTAAAAAAGTATTTTTGTATAAATTTTTTGAAATACTAATAATCTTACACATGAAAGATAAATAAAACGGAACAGATGACATTGATTTTGCAATTGCAGATTCCTTCAAATTTGCTTTCACAACATCTTTTTTTTCCTCTAAAACATTATTTTCTATATAATTATTTATTCCATCTTCATTAAATCCCATAATTTGAATGTTTATCTTATCACAACCCTCTGTAGATATACTTTGATACTGATCAATTGCATGAACTCTACCAGCAACTACATATTTATATTTTTGAATTTCTGTTAAAACATTAACAATTGGATAGTTAAAACTTGAACTGCAATTTATTAACTCATGTAAATATTTAAACTCATCTAATCCATCAATTATAAATAGCGTAGAATGAGTACTAATATCAAAATCATTTATAATATCTTTGTAGAAAACATTTAGTAATTCATTAATATTAGAAATATTTTGATATTGATTAAGCCTTCTGCATTCCAAATAAAACACAAGTTCAACATTTTTCCAAATTAAATTGTTTGACCAATCAAGCAAACATTTTCGAAGCAACCATGTTTTTCCTATACCAGCTATTCCAGATATTAATATTACAGATTTTTCTTTCATAAAAATTTCACTATATGAAATAGGTGTATAGTTCATTTGCTTTTCAAGAAATTTTTTTCGCTCAAAATTAAAAACAACATCCATTTGAGTATTAACTGCATCAACGATACATAGATCAACAAAGTTATTCATTAGATCAACACTTGCAGGTACTTTTAATGGTGGTTGAATTTCATTTATTTTTCTATAATTTTCACGATAATATTTTTTCAGTGCTGTACACACCTCTGATGTATCTAAATATAAATAATTCATCATCATCCTCATTATCATCATCATCATCATCATCATCATCATCATCATCATCATCATCATCATCATCATCATCATCATCATCATCATCATCACCATCGTCATCATCATCATCATCGTCATCATTATCATAATCATTATAATTAATTGTAAAAGATTACAGGTCATTATCATGGTTAAATATGAAGACCTTTTAATATTTTAAATAACAAGTAAAAGAAAAAGTTTTAAAAGATTTTGTAAATATATTTTAATTGAAAATATATGCACCAGATTAATATAGACAGTCAAATCTAAATGAAAAAAAAGTTTTATTTGTCTCAAAATTGAATATAAAAATACAAAAATTTAAACAAATAAAAATTAAAAAAAAAAAGTTTAGAAAAATTTGTTTTTTTTAAGTGCGGGATTTTCATGGGTAAAAAAAAAACAGGTTTCACTAAATCATTTTATTACATATGATAATTTTTAAATTTCTTAACTATTTTTGCATATTATTTAATAAATAATACATTTTGTAAATTAAAAACAAAGAAAAGAAAAAAAATGTGTGGTTCATTGCTTTTGTGTGTCTTTAAAGTCTGATTGATTTGACCATGTTACTATAGAAGTAGCCATTTTTTTATTTTATATAAATTTTCTGAAACAAATTGAGTTTTAAATAAAAAAATTTACTGTTACCTCTGTAGTAACATGTTATAAAATCAATTCAAATGTGAATTTTATTGAAAACCGAAATATTAAATTACAGTTTTTGTCAAGTATGAAAAACAATACTGGATTGCGGATGGTACATTTGTTATTAGTCTTAACTTCAGAGTTAAAACTACTAAGTTTATAGATTTTTTTAAGCGTGGTTTGAAAATTGTTTTAATATTGTTACTTTCAATCTTAGCAAACTTTTGGCTGATGATTTTCCTCCTAGGCATATTTTTACAAGTAAAAATATTTCTGCATGTGCCATTTTTTTGCAATCCAGGTTTTTATCTCTTTACGCTGGTTTCACAATGAATTTCAAAGTTTTTAAAAGTCTAGCATTTAATTTAATTCAAAAATTTTTTAGTTCAAAATTAACAATGCAAATATCTCTTGTGAGTATAATATGTTCTATATTAATTTGTTATTATTAAATAAGTTATGGATATTACATATATATATATATATATATATATATATATATATATATATATATATATATATATATATATATATATATATATATATATAAACACAAAATTTTTTATACATTATTTCACAAAACCTTCACTTTGACATTTTAGTAAGTGTTGTATCTATGTTTCAATGTATTTTTTTATTTATAGTGTACCCTGGAGAGCATCTAGATCACCTGCAATGAATATATCTTATACACTAAAACCTAGACAGTTTTTTATAAAGCTTACAAACGATGATGATTGAATGAAGCGATGGATGAAGCGTAAAAGAACAGATAGTCTTAGAGAACGAGAGGGTAGAAGAACTGCAACATGCCAAAAGATTTAAATCTAATCTTTATACTGATGATTGGACTAATTTATATGGTTAAAATTTATCATTGCAAGTTCTTTGTAATTTAAAACTTGCAGATAGAAAATAAAATAAAAAACTTACAGATAGAAAATAAAAAACTAAATTTAAAAGTATAGTGACTCATAATCGTCATGTTTGAATTATATTGTTTCAAAATAGTTAAACCTCCAAGTTTAACTAAGTTGAAATAATACAAAAAATTGACATATCCAGAACATATTGAATATTATGAAACTGCAGTAATGCCACTCGTCATCTTTTTTATTTTGCAAAAGAGACAGCTGATTTTATTTAGGAAAAATTTGAACATTTAAAAAAAAAAAATTTTATTAAACAATATTGAATTTAAACTAGGTTAAAATACTTTGGTAGTAAAGTCTAGTTTACCAACTATTTACACCACAATGAATGATGGCAAAACAATGCTTAAGAAAATATGCTTATTAAATATGTAACCAATATGCTTAAGAAAAGAATTTCATCTCAGTCCTGCCATGTTTGTCTTACTAATTCTAAGGAGTTTAATTTAAAAATTATTTAAAAAATAAAATAAAAATTTGGGCAAGCAAGTTTTGAAACTTGGAATTTGCAGTCTTCATTTATGGATATGCTACATGGAGTGGGTTTTTAATACTGCTTGTAAACTCCCAGCAGTAAAACAAGGAAGAAATATTCCATCACAAAAGAGTATAGAATTTATTAAAAACAAAAAAAAATTCCAACATTTATTCAAGATACAATTGAAAATAAGGGTTTCTTTTGTCAGAAAAGAAAGTGGCACAACCAATGATAGAAATGTTGCTTGCAAATTTTTTAATAATGCGATAGTGCCTGGGAGAATTTTAAATTTAGATATCAGAATAATTAAGTTGTTTTGAAATTTGCTCATTGATATGAATAGCCCAATGACAAGACCAGATAAAAAGACTTTTAAACAGAAATCTGAGCATCTATTTGCGCTCATAACTAATGATACAATTTTAAAAACTATACTTATGTCACAATCTGTGAATAGAATGATACTTCATGGTATTTCTTTTATAATGTATTTTAAGTATCCAATAGGTTCTTTGTCTGAGAGTGCTATTGAAGCCAGAAATAAGGAAAACAAAACTGCACAAATTGGTCATGTTCGTCTAACCTCTTTTGCAGAAAACACTAGAGATACAGCTAATTATTTATTTATGACATCTGCTATGTACCTCTATTGCAAAAAAAAACAACAACAAAATGAATAAAAAATGAGTAACAGCAAAATTGTTTAAGAAAGCAAAGTGGCAGTTGTTCTGATAATTGTTTAAAATAAATAACTTTATTAGTAATATTAGTAACAGTTTTTATTAATTTTAATTAATTTATTTATTTTCTGGTTAGTTAGGCAATCTTTTAATTTTTTTTATAATAACAATCCAAAGTTAAGTTTTTTTGTTTAGTTTTTAAAAACAAGTTTAAGAAATTTTAACAAGTAATTAATTATTCTAGAAAGTATAAAGGAAGGACCATGAACTAAATGAAGAACCATACTGATGTGCTGTTTTATAATGAGTTAAAAAAAACGGCTATTTTCATAGCCACAAGTAATTAAAAACATCTATTAGAATAGATTGTTGAGTAACTTTTAAATAACCAAAGAGCAAAGAATCAGATCATAGTCAATTTGTTATATTCCACGACATTGTTTATTATTAATCGTGTTTCTAATATAGTTCGCAAAATTCTAAATATCCACGCTTTCGGTTTTTTAAAAAATTATCTGGACTAATGTAGTTTTTCAGATTAGTCTAAAGGCCTGATGAACAGAAACAAAAACCTGATGTCTTGTAAAAAAATCAGTTCAATATGTTGAACTTCTCTTTATTTATAAGCCTATTTCCTCATTTACTATTTGAGCAACACATAGTGTGCCGGCTGGAATAGATATTTTACAACACAACGCTTTAAATCAGTAAATGCTTTCTAAAATATCAAAAAAGTCAATTATACTTGCATGCTCTGTAAAACAGAAATTATGAGAGGTGTGTTGAACTGCATTGTAAGTATATTCTAAGCAAAATAAAGGGTCCCTGGCTAAAGCTGGATTCCCTCTTTTCTCAGATAAAAACTTGATGCAAAAGCAAAATAAGTTGAACAAAAAATATTTGAAATTAAAAAAAAACATGCACAGGAGGTCGCCTTTAGAGTTAAAAAGCAACAAGACTTTAGAAAGGGAAAATAGGGGAAATCTTTTGGACAGGAAAAGCTAACACACAAAACTGGATAAAGAAGGACAAAAATAGACCTAGATTTTTTATACGATCAAGAACACAGCAGAAAGTTACTTCTAGGGCCTAAAGACAAGAAATATAGCAAATTAATCCATATTGTGACTCTTTCTTTCTGAATTTAAAAACTCTTACCTCATTGCTCACTCCTTGCCAATTTTTTATTGGTTTTTATTTTGGATTCATTAATCTTTATTTTATAATGCATTTTGTTATGATTTTGGAGAATACAAGAAAGAGAAATCCATCTATAAAAAATGCTGTTAAATTAGTAGAAGTAAGTTCAGATTTGGAATTTAGTATGGACACCAGCAATGATTCATCTTTTGATTTGGATTTTGACCCAGGATATTAGAGTTCTATAGAGTCAAGTAGTCAAATAAAAGCTGAGATCCCAAAAGATATTATTTCTGGTAACGTTGCTCTAATTGCCACAATTACTGATATATCTCCTAACGTTTTGACAAAAATTACTACTGCAATCCTTGATAGTTTTGGGTTGATCTTAGAAATGTAAATTGCAGAAGGTCAACAGCTTTTAGAAAGATGCAACAAACATCTCATGAAATGGCAATTATTGTTAAAGAAGATGTTGAACTTAGCATCCAAGCTTCTCCCATGCATTATACATTTTTACGGAAAGACACTTTATGAAATTAATAATGGAAAAAAATTAAATCATGATAGACTTGCTGTTCTGGCAACTATCGATAGTGAGTCCCATCTTCTTGGAGTTATGCCATTAACCTTTTCATCTGGGGAAAGTCAACACAATGGTGTAATGAAACTCCTAAAATAATGATGATCATTATGATCATGATGATCATCATCATCAATACCATCATTATTATTAATAATCATCATCAGGCTTTAGCCTTCCTCTTTTATGCTGTTTCTCTAATATAAACAATCTAGAGCATTTTTTTTTCTTAACTAAAGGTCATTCATATAATAGGTAAGGCACTCTCTTCAAGTTTTCTTCTACCATTTTCTATTGAAGCTGCTACCTCTCTACATACAGATACCTAAATTACTTTATTCTTTTTTAACCAATGTTTTTTTTAATCTGTTTAAAATATGCCTCCTTTTCTTGTCTTGCAAGAGTCACACTACACATCAGGCTTGGTCGGGAAGCAGGAGCGATCGCTCTCGATTGCTGACCACGTAAATAATATTTAGTTGCGAAAAGCTGG